TGAAAAAATTAATCTCTCCTGGCAGCGATCCCACTGGGATAACTGATGAATAATAATTTCCCTTTTTTCTTGCCCTCTGTCCACTGGAGAAGCTACTCTTCCCCCACAGCACGGATAAGGCAGAGAAGAAAAATCCAGCTGTGGATTGTCAGGCAGTCGGGGATCCATCTGCTCAAACTGAACTGAAGTGCGAGTACCCAATTACTACAGCAGGAGCATCTGGGGTAGAACTGCTTAACTGACAACTGTCTGTGAGATGAGTTGTTCCCTGAGAATCGGGCATTTCAGCTCCACCCACAAACAGCAAGAGACAGGGAAAGTGCCAGATTAGCTTTTTTTAATGGCTTGCCATATACTTGGGATTTAGAAAAACGCATTAAGCAACTTATCAGTCAAATAAAATGCAATGATGTGAATAATGCTCTTTTATTTAAGCCGCCCCCAAATCTTCGTCTTATCAAAAAAATCAATGTATCCAGTGGAAAAACTCTCTTTTGTGAGCATTATAGCTGCAACCAGGGTTTTAACTCTCAAACCTTGCCAGATCACATCCCTTGTAATACTGCCCATTAGAGAAAAGTATAGCATCATTTGAAGTGATAAAAGTGGATTTTTTTTCTGAATTTCATTACAAAAGGATGCGTACCCATGGATGGCTGGGAATGATTCCGAGGCAATGTTCTTTGTCACCGAGGTGTCGGACACATCGAGAAACCCACTGCCATACTTATGTATTCAAACTGGACTGAGAGTTCCAACTATGTATCATGTCCACACATAGAAATTTCCCTGTATCTGCAATTGGATGTGCACTATCTCCCTGGAGGTATACACCTGTTTACCTAATTATGAAGAATATTAGATCCAGGTTGGTGATAGCCAAGAATTAGAGACCCCACATTGTGCATTGGGGTACTGCTGGAGTTTATCTCACGGAAACCCATGTAATAATAATAATAATCCTTGCATTTGATATAGCGCTTTTCATGTCTTCTCGATGTCAAAGTGCTTCACAGAATATGCTGTAAAGTGAATTGACTGTATATTTGTGGGCGAAACGCGGCAGCCAATTGCACACAGCAGTGTCCCACAAACAGTTGTGGATTGAAAATGACCAATTTATTTTTGTTTTTGTTTTGGAGGGATTATTATTAGGCATGTAGAGTAAGGGAACTTTCCCAAGGTTTCGCCTTTCCATGTAGATGGCCACTGAAAGCACCCTCCACCAAGCCAGCTCTTCATTGAGCTAGGACCACGCGATCCGTGGTTTTTGGCTCGCAGGTTTAACAGAAGCTGAGTGGGATGTATCCTTGCTCAAAGTTATTATTGTCCCAAATATTAAATGGCAACAATAATTTGTGAGATCATTACTAAGAATTAATTGCAGAAATAATTTGATAGTGGTGCTCTCGTTCGGAAAGCAGGCTTTGTGTTGCTGCCAGATTTAACAACAACAAGATTTCATTTATAGAGCGCCTTTCACGTAGGGAGGACGTCCCAAGGCGCTGGACAGTTGGGTCGGGACCCGAGCAAGGGGGAAATGGTCAGGGTGAGGGGAGCGAAGGGAGGAAGCGAGAAGGGGGTAGAGTCGAGAGGGAGCTGAAGGCACGGTCAAAGAGAAAGATCTTGAGACCGGCCTTGAAGGAGGAAAGGGACGAGGCAAGGCGAAGGCACTGAGGGATGGAGTTCCAGAGCCTAGGGGATGAGAGGCTGAAGGCCTGGCCACCGATGGTAGGGCGGTTAGGGCGGGGGATGTGGAGCAGACTGGAGCCAGAGGAACGGAGGGTACGGGCAGTTAAGTAGGGAGATAGTAGGTCAGAGAGGTAGGAAGGAGCTAATGTGTTATATTCACAGGAACTACATATCGTAATATTTAAATTAACATGAAAATAGCTATCCTTGGGGGGGAGGGGGAGGGGGAAGACAGGGGCTTAGAGTGGGAGGGCCAGTTATGCTGACACCTAGACAGGAAATACTGTAGAAGCAGTGGGTTAAGTCAAGCTGAAGCAGTTTTTCCATAGAAAAATTGGAAGGTTTTAATTGGGAAAATTAAAGATTATACAATTTTTGAACAGGCCATAAAATGATATGGCAACAATCAATCAAAACAAAGAAATTCGACTGATATTGTAAAAATGGATAAAACTGTACTCTCTTACTGAAGTATTGGCACAGCTTGGCAGGAGCCAAGGTTTGGGGACCTCAGAGTGTTTGTTGTCCAGCTAGGATCATCCGACCTGTTGCGAATTTGTCCTGCAGAATTAACAGGAGCCTCCCTCCCCACTTTCAAATCCCACCTAAAGACCTTTTTTAATCATGTTTACGGTCACCTCCCCCCACCCCTCTCCCCTTGGTTCGGGGTCAGACTCTGCCATTGTCAAGCGCTCCAGGACGCAACTCCGTGTGAAGGGGCTATACACATGCAAGTTGTTGTCCTTGAAATTACACCGGTGTAACACAAGATTTCTTTTAGCACATTACTGACTAAACAGAAAGATATTTGGTCATTGGCACATAAAGCCTGTGTTATTGACTTACTGGATTGGCTTCTACACGTGCCTAACTCTTTCCTGCCCAGCTGAGCACAAAATGTCCTTTAAGTATTAAAACTCAGAGCTTCAAGATAAGTTACATAATCAATAAAGCGAACTGATGTCAGCTATTCTGGACTGATGGCGCCATATTTCACAATGTCCTGGGATAGAAGGAATTTATTTGAATTCTTAAGGAGACAAGCCGTTGTTGGGCAGCTTTCACCTCTGGGACTTGGACTTAAATTCAGCGCAGACAGATGGGATAAAAGTCTCTTCTGATAGCTGTTAAACGGCCCTAATGAAATGAGTCTGGACAGCCTCAATCAATTTCCCCAGAGGATACAAGTTCACAGCACAAGACTGTCTGTAATTGAGCCCTAATTGGGCAATCACACTTATATATCTCATTTAGGCTGTGTAACTGGTGGAAGACTCCTTTCTCCACACTGGGTACTAACAGGATATCATTAGAGCCATTCCTATTTGTACTGCATTTGCAAGAAAACTCATTTCACTGGAAAATGGTGCACAAGTGCCCAGACTGGAAAAAAATACACCATTTTGTATATTTAAAATTCACACACCCACAAATATCCTAGTTTCAACAAATAAATTAAAATAAAAGAGGATGTAGTAATTATGGTAAATCCAAAACTTGTCTCAAACATTTCTCATACTTAATACCAGCAACAGAATGGTGTGAATCACAAGATCACAAGATTGATTTGATTGATAAAGGCTATTCATTCCATTTGATCTTATCCCCCCAGAAAACCCACCTTTCAATCACAGCATCAATCTGCTTTTTAAATAAGTCCAATTTCCAGGCCTCCACCACCCTTCCTGGTAACCTGTTCCAGTAGTCACACTCTAGTATTGCAATGTTTGAAATATAATGAGTAAAAATGTATTGCCTTAATTGGAATGCATCGTAATAATGTATGTATTTGCTATCTAATTTTGGAGCAAAGTTCCTGTGAGCACGATACCTAACTGCCAAAATTTCCTTATTGAAGAATCATGTTAGAAATTGCCTCATTTTAGAGCCCCTTGTGAAAGAATGAAACATATATAGGTAGCTAAAGACTGTACAAAATCTTTTGATCTAAAGGATTCATACACCCGAGTTAAATATTACTTAATACAATACAAATTTACATTTACATAGTGCCTTTCACATTGGGAGAATATTGCAAGGCAGTTGACAGTCTTGGCATGGCATCTGAGCAGGGGGTGGCAGCCAAGGGGGTGGGGAAGGAACAATGACCGAAGGAGCAGTCAAAAAGGAAGGTTTTGATGGTTAGTAGTATTAATTAATATTATTAATAGGTATTAATATTAATTAATATCTGTTTCTATATTGTATATGGATTCTATATTCGATAAATTCCACAGCATAATAATTTAAAGCACTAAATAGTGGAATCATGTTTTAGAAAAGTTATCTAGTCTAGGACCACTTGTTTCTTATCTGGAGGACCTTTTACAATGGAAGCAGTAAGGAAGATAATCTGCCATTTCTGAGAAATTGTCATATTAATGTTTATCTCTCAACAATATTAATTAGTATTTGTTTCCAGCGCCTTGGGATGTCCTCCTGACGTGAAAGGCGCTATACAAATGTAATCTTGTTGTTGTTGTTTATTATAATTTGGAATAAGAATATTAATATTACTATTGGTAGTAGTATATTAATGGTAATGTATACCATAATTTGAGCCCCCAATTGCATTATGTCTTGTGAATACAGGGGATTAAATTCTGCTGGTTAGTAATTAACCTAGTTAAATTATGGTTGTAAATATAAAGAGAGAAGAGAAATCTTGTTAAACATATTCATCGCCGACTAGATTTAGATACATTTGTTGAAGGAAAGTAACTTAGTTCAAAAACAATGTGTTACTATAGTTCACTGATAAGTCTTGCTCCTGCTGTTTCATGCTGTACACAGTTTTTTGTTGAGAGATAAACATTAATATGAAAATTTCTCAGAAATGGCAGATAATCTTTCTTACTGCTTCCATTGTAAGAGGTCCTCCAGATAAAAAACAAATGGTCCTAGACGAGATAACTTTTCTAAAACAATATTTCACGATTTAGTGCTTTAAATTATTGTGCTGTGGAATTTATCGAATATAGAATCCATAAGAAAGAAAGACCCACAAGAAATAAAAAGATGATACAAGGAACATGATGGCGATTAATCACACACAACATTTTGCTGAGAGTACTGGACGAAGGAAGGTAAGAAACTCCTGACTGTAATATGCTATGATGGAGCAGAACTTCAAATATTGTGTATAATATTGAAAATCATTTTCACAGCAAAGAAAAAATCTACTACAACTCTCAAAACACCATGCCTTTTCAGTAATTCCCAAGGTAGGGATCAATAGGACTCTGGATTCAAATTTTTTGAGACAGCAGTAAATGGACAAGTTCAGGTCTCAACCAATTTGTACTCACTGTCAGAATAGAGATCAATTCCTCCACACTGCAATCCACTTTCATTCGTTCCTTGAACATTCGCACAGTTGGGTGTTTCAGGTAATAATAAGAGGCGATACGTCCAAAATCCAATGGCTGGAGGCTCCGGTTGTCCTGTGAGACACAAGTGTGGATCATTAGAGAATAACACCAAAAGAAACAATGTATTGGCAATTAAGTCTGGACACATTTTTTTTAAAACTTGATATCAACAAACAGCTGACATTATAAATGGAGTATTAGGTGAACGCCTCACTGAGCATAGGAGAATGTTTTTAAAAAATTTATACTTATAAATGAGCACTTCTTATAATCTTAGTTATTAGCATTTGATATAGCGCTTTATCACATTTCAAAGCACTTCACAGGATTTACTGTGGAACGACCTCCCGATGTGAAAGGCGCTATATAAATGTAAATTTGTATTTGTTTATTTGTAATGCAGCGGCCAATTTGGGCACAGCAATGTCCCCCCACAAATAGCCATCAAGTGAATAACCAATTTTATTTGGAGGATTGTTGGCTAGCATACTGGGAATAATGCTATTGTCTCATCTGAAGAACGGCACCTCCAATGTAGTGCTCCCCCAGCATGGCACTGGAGTATCAACCTAGACTAAGTTCAAAGGCGAGAATGTTACCAGCTGAGTCAGGATGACATCCTATATTATAGCTTATATTTTAACTATAACATTTTATTTTTGAAATTATTTTTAGAATGCAAGCAGCAGGGAGAAAAAAACATGAAATCCAAGCTCTCCATAGTCAGATTCAAGCCAATTCCATGAAACATTTTGATGGAGAAGATGGTTCAGTTTTACTGGGTGATCTGGCACCAGAGTGGGGAACAGTTAGGAATGGATCAACAATGCTTGCAGCATTTTAAAGAGTTAACAATAACAACAACAACAAAATTACATTGATAGAGCACCTTTCACATCGGGAGGACATCCCAAAGCCCTGAACAGTCAGCTGTCGGGGTCCGAGCATGGGGGAGGGGGAGTCGTGTAGGGGTGAGGAAGGCAGAGAGGTTGGAGGGAGACCAAAGGCACGGTCGAAGAGAAGGGTCTTGAGACCAGCCTTGAAGGAGGCAAGGGAGGAAGCGAGGCGAAGGGACAGTGGGATGGAGTTCCAGAGTGTGGGGGCAGAGAGGCTGAAAGCCCGGCCACTAATGGTAGGGTGGGTCAGGTGGGTACCAGTGTGGTACCCACCACACTGGTGGGTAAGCCGGAGCCTGATGAAGGGAGGGAGCGGGCAGGTTGGTAGGGAGTCAGCAGGGCAGAAAAGTAGGAGGGGGAAAGGCCATGGATGGCTTTAAAGGTGAGGACGAGGATCTTGATCTTGAAGTAAAAGCATTGGAAAGTAGGAACGGAAGGAGACCATTTATCCCATTGAGCCTGTTTCACTAGTTTATTGGATTTCAGGTCTTTTAATCCCTATGTCCTTTTGCCATAACCCTTAATATCACTACTACCAAAGTATTTGACTATCTCTCTTTTAAACAGAGTTTTCAGACATCAAATATCAAAGATTCATACTAAAACATTATTTTGGTCATTCTTAGTACTATCAAAGCAATCAACAATGAAAATGCTTGGCAGTCACACCTAAACATCTGTTTCGATCTTCCTTTTTAAAATAAATCTTTAAATTCCTGCAAACACTGGGATGAGTGTATAATACCACTGTTCCTATTACTTTATCTTAAATAATAAAAAGATTTTAGCATTTGAGTTCACAAGAGTCAACTTTACCTCTCCTACTGCCATACAATATGAACATTCCAGATCCATGAGACACTTCTCCACGAGGCTCGAAAGGTATTTATTGATGGTGTCATGGTTAACGTCATCCAAGTTGTAATAGCTGGAGATTATTAAAAAAAATTGAATCAATACAAAGAGCACCGGTTCACCAACATAAAACTGGCTACAATACAGTGCTTTTTCTGTAAGTTTATCTTAAAATGTTTATTTATGTATGTTTATCTATTCTCTAAATGTTTTTGTGTGAAAATCCACTGTACATCTGTCAAATTGGTGAAAGCAAAGTCCTCAACACAATTACATCTCCTTGCTACAAGGTAAGAATCTATTTGATTTTTGCCTGATTGTAAAAATTATAAAGTTATACTCCCAGTAAAATGAGACATCAACTTCTGTTCGTATGAGTAGCAAATCTGTTGAATGCCATTTTCTCACAATTTTATCATAGTAAGCAGCAACCTTGTTTCTGCAATATAGTAAAACTCACAGAAGACGTATCAATTGGGACCATAACATTTAATATGACTTACATGAAGTCCGAGTCACAGGCAAACTCGGGAGTTAATGAGAACAGGATAGTGGCGTTACAAATTAGGAGATGATTTTCTTATAAAATATGACTAGTGCAAAGAAATCAAAGTGATTTTGATAGGAAACTGAATGGAACTCGGGTGCACGTACGAATTAGGCGATTGTACGATTATATAAACTTGTGCAAGGTTTACTGTATTTTATAAATGTAACAACACTCGTTGCACAGACAACATTGACACATACTATTGACAATAGATTTACATATTTCTCACTGGTTTGCTATCCTATAATAATTCTTGTTTTTGATTTTACCATAAAGTTTAGTGATTATGTATTTTCCAGGCAATTGTGGCAGATAATTTGCATACAGCAATGTCAATTGCTTGACATGTCAATGTCAATAAACAGCTATGAAGTAAATTACCAAATTTATTTGGGGATTATCGGACACGATGCTGGGAGAAACTATATTCTCTTTTCGAATAATGGTATGGGATCTTTAACTTCCCCCTGAACAAGCAGACAGGACCTCGGTTTAACGTCTCAGCTGAACAACAGCACCTCTAATGATGCAGCCATTGATATATAAGGGTAAAGAAGGTTCATTGAACATTTTCTTGCACCTAAGTGTGACCTCTTTTACTCTAATGTACAACATATTTGCATCATGGGAGTATCAAGAGATTGATTGAATAGTTTTTCCTATGTTCTATTCCCACTTAAAACTTTTAACTTGAATTTATACTCAGAACCACCCACCCTCTCCTATCATAACAATACTTTGAAGACTAGCTGTTCTGTAACAAAAATCAGGAAAAGGGTAAAACAAAGGAGAGATTTACAAAGTTACAACAGGTTCTGTCAAAAATGTATTTTTGAAAGTTTAGACTGCAATGCAACAGCTGAAGATTGCACTGGAGATTTTTCAGTTAGTTCAACTCTTGTAACTCATTTTGAGGATTTTAATACCAAATAATTAAACCAACATGTGGCGTTTGCTGCTAGAGCTCTATTCTGCCAGCAGCATTTTGATTGACAGCTGACTAATGGTTTTCTAAACTTTGTAAAAGTAGGGGGGTTAGCAAGCTAAACGTATTGAACGTAAGGTCTCCTGAAGAATCTCATTGAAATTTGAGTCTATCTTTCTCTTTCAGATGCTTACATAGTTACATAGACCATACAGCACAGAAACATGCCTTTCGGTCCAACAAGTCTATGCTGGTATTTATATATATATGCTGATAGATTTGTAAAAAATAAAGGGATTAGGGGATATGGGAATAGGGCAGGTAATTAGAGTTAGGTCAGAAGATCAGCTGTGATCTTATCGAATGGCGGGGCAGGCTCGAGGGGCAGAATGGCCTACTCCTGCTCCTAAATTCTTATGTTCTTAGACTCCATAATGAGTCTCCACTTACTCCCTTCCACACCTTTCTATTCCCCTCTTCCTCATGTGTAAATCTAGCTTCCTCTTGAATGCATCGATGCGGTCCAATTCAACTGGGCAGTGAGCACACATTCTCACCATCCTCTGAGTGAACAAGTTGCTGTTCAGCACATGCTATTCAATCGGATGTGAATTTCCAGCAGTTTTTGCTTTTAATCTCATGTCTGTCGGTTACACACTGTTGGACCAGTTCCTCACATTGCTACTGCCCCGCACTGTAATGACACCATTCGTCTCTCAGTACCATCATTGGAAAAAATTGTGAACCAACATCAGTACTGCATCCTCCCATCACCTCTCTATCCCCCACCCACGACATCTCTTCTCCACCCCCACTCCCACCACCTATTATTACTGCACTACAGAAAGCCACCTCCTGAAACAAATGCTGGCAGCAAGCCTCAGAAAATTTCCCTTCAGCAGGAAATTAACACTGCACTGCAACCCCAATTGTGAACTCGATATGTGCTGGTACAAGGGCTATTTTTTTAATCTACAGACGTGTTATGTTAATCACCCAGTCATTTAAAAAAGGCAGAACACAGCAACTAAGCCATCAATCTGAAACTACCATTACTTTCTGAATAAAATATCCTAAAACACCCAGAGGCAGCTAAAGCTTACACTGAAGTAAAATTGCTACCATATTTCTCCACAGTGTAATCTGCTCTGATTTTGCAGGGAGTGAAATTGGAGCTACATTAAGATTTACATGCATTTCAGTTAACACAGTTGTATGCAAAACAGTGGCCTGGATTCCTACTGACCTATTTTGATGCTACTATGACTGAACTGATTTTTTCTTTTAAAACTCCTTCAGATTTTAGTTTGCTGTTCATATCTGTCTGTTGGGGATTTACACTGTACCATTGTATTACAGACAATATTTATGGTGCACTGAAAGATTCGCTGACCATAATTAAGAGCAGAGATTAGGAAAATCATTTTAAAAATGATCATCTGCTATTTCTAAACAATTTTCATATAAACCCTATGATATATCGAAACCACAAAATTGGGTCTAATTTGAGGTAATTTCTAACAATTTATTAAGATCGACTGAGGCTCAAACAGGGAATTCTCACTGGTATGAGAGTACATTACAGAAACTCACAGGAATTCTATAATTACTTTCGCATGCATGGGAGCAGGTTTCTGTGGGTCAACATGACGCATTTCCTGTAACTAAAGAATTGCCATTAATGAGTGAGTGCATATTAACGAATAGTGTTAGAAATTGCTACAGATTAGGTCCCAATCTTGCTTAGTTGTTAGAAAGAAGAAAAATGCTGCAGAGCGATTTGGCAGAACATGATTTGAAATGGATAGATTTCCGTTGGAGGTTTGGATTTTAAATCAACATTACAATTTCATGGAAAGTGACTGCAACAGGATACTCTTTGCAACCTCAGCTTCTGAGGATCATTTACTGGTCGTTCTTTAGTTAGCAGTAATCTGGCCAGTCCCTTTGGACAGCCATTTCATTGTACACCCCAGGAATAGACTAATTGACTTGTCTTTTCCATCCCTTTGGATAGACATTTTATTGTACACCCTGGTAACAGACTAATTGACTTGTCAGAAGCTTCAATTTAAAAAGCTAGCCTCACAGGGTTCCCCAGCATAAGGCTCATAACCTGCACACAAGCAGGGCTGAATATTTACACTGCTGTTAATAGGTGCTGAGATGTTAAATGATTCTAATAGCTAGGGGCGTACTGAGAGAGCCAGCGGGATCAGAATTATAGCCTGTTTGAACACAACAATTACTTGTCCCACGAGAGAAGTCAAAATCAGAGGCAGTTTTATACTAATAGCTGCTTGCACATGGGGTACACTGGCTAACTTCCATTAGTATGCCTTCTGGGAAACATAGGGAATAACTCCCTCTGGTACCATAAATATGTATAATCTAAATTTTAAATAACATACCTATAAAACCATCAACGCAGCATTATCTATGCAGTGATTTCATTACTCGTTCTGGATTTAACAGGAAGGTTTTGTGAAGAACAGTAAAGCTTAATGTGTGTTATTTTCTGAGAAATGGGAGCAGGGCAAATGAAATGAGGAAAACGGAGAGTAAAAATGATCTGTCTTAGATTTATGGAAGAAATGTCAAGTCAGTGCCTTTCACTAATGTACTGTACAAAATTTCAGAGGCATCTTTCACAGATCCAGACAAAAAAAAAAAAAGAGGTGGTGTACCACATTGAATCATAGAATTATACAGCACAGAAAGAGGCCATTCGGCCCATCATGTCTGTGCCGGCTCTGTGAAAAGAGCTATCCAAATCAATCCCACTCCCCTGCTCTCTCCCCATAGCCCTGGAATCTTGTCCTACCCAAATAATTATCTACTTCTCTCTTAAAAGCTGTTATCGAATTGGCTTCCACCACCCTTTCAGGCAATGCATTCCAGATTAGAACAGCTCTGTGTGAAAAAATTCTCCTCACCTCCCTTCTGTTTCTTTTAACGGCTATTTTAAATCGGTGTCCTTGGGTTACCGACCCACCCGCCAGTGGAAATAGTTTCTCCTTGTTCACATAATCGAATCCCCTCATAATTTTGAAAACTTCTATTTAAGTCTCCTCTTAACCTTCTCTACTCCAAGGAGAATAATCCGAGCTTCTCCAGCCTCTCCTGATAACTGAAGTCCCTCATTCCTGGTACCATCCTGGCAAACCTCCTTTGCACCCTCTCCAATGCCTTGACATCCTTCCTAAAGTGTGGTGCCCAGAACTGAACACAGTCTCTCGCTGAGGCCTAATCAGTGTTTCACAAAGGTTCATCATAACTTCCTGATTTTGTATTCTATGTCCCTATTTATAAAGCCTAGTGTACCGTATGCTTTTTCAACAGTTTTATCTACTGTCCTGCCACCTTCAAAGATTTAACCCCCAGGTATCTCTATTCCTTCACCCCCTTTAAGATTGTACCATCAGCTTATATTGCCTCTCCTCATTCTTCCTCCCAAAATGCATCACTTCGCATTTCTCCACATTAAACTTCATCTGCCACGTATCTGCCCATTTTACCAGTCTGTCTATGTCCATTTGCAGTCTGCTTCTAACCTCCTCACCGTTTACTACTTTTCCTAGCTTAGCATCATCTGCAA